AATGTAGCATGCCATCTCATGAAATCATAATCACAAATAGATACAATATAAAAAACAGAGCCATATGCATTATCATTAAAACTAGAATCATCCACATCCAAAACTAAGAAACCATCCAAAAGATAACCATAAAAAAATTGTCCCCAAATAAATGCTAACACCATTATTCTCAAAACAAAGGCTAAAACCAAGACTCATCATGCTAATAACTAAAACTAGGTTTCGCTGAATATCCGGAGCATAAAGAACATCATGAAGATACAAGGTGCGCCATCGTCGCATTTCCAACTTGCATGTGCCAATGCCAAGCACCTTCATACTGAACTCATTCCCATGTAAACTTTTCTGCTCCTAGCAGGTACTCGGCGATACTCAACGAACCCTACTTTGTTCCTCGCGATGTGGTCTATTGCTCCTGAGTCTATAACTAAAAAATGAGGAGAATGAGCAATTGATGCTTGACTAGAAACAAAGCATTGAATGCGAGAAATTAAGTAAGGGAGTACCTTCTTCTACTCAGGGCAATCTCGAGCGAAGTGTCCTTTTTTGTTACAATTAAAGCAGGCGATATGTCCTCGAATGTTTTTACACTCTCATTATACATCATGTTCTGCTTCATATGCTCCCAAGAATTTGGTAGAGAGCGAATCACAGCTTAAATTTGCTGCTCTTGAGTCAAATTGTGTCCAATGACTGCTAGCTCACATATCATGGTTGACATGACCCTCAAATGCTGTTTCATAAAGTGATGCGCCTTATTTTGATAAGAGTCAAACTTCATAGTCAGCCCACGTAGCTTTGCCAAAGAGGTGACAGCAAACTTTTGCTTGAGAGTTTTCCACATCTCAAATGCAGTCGGGCAATGCTCAAACTCACTAATCAAGGCGTTGTGCATGCTGCTCAACATGGTAAAGCATGCATACCGATCTTTGTTACGCTAAGTCTGATAGACTTCGAGATCATGACAATGTTGAGCTGTATTGCCCTATTCAGGCTCAACCATCACTTGGTCACGTGTGTTCAAAACTTCTTGCTCATTGAGGAGATATTGGATCTTACAGTGCCATATGTTATAGTTATTGCCATCCAATTTCTCTCCCTTAGTTAAGTTTGTCATTGTCACAACTGTCTTAGCTGCCATTTCTACATAAAGAGAGAGAGAGAGAGAGAGAGAGAGAAAAAAAAAAGAAACAAATGCGCAGAGGATATTAATTTTAGCAACACAAAATTATTTTGTAGCAAAAGAATCTAAATTAAATAATGATAATATTACACATGTCTCAAGATCAAAAATTTGCTATGCTCATAATCATCTCTTGCGCCTCTAGTGACAATTATCAAAACTTAATTTAATTCCATATGCAAAATTTTGGTTTTTGGGAGATAATTCCTAGAATCTTCTCATCCAAACAACCTCCCACTACTAATGGCATGTTTAAAACATGATAATTAGTCTAATTCAGCATCTTAATGTAAATTCGCAATCAACTCATGCTATATTACATTTAATAATGAAATTTAAATAATAAAAAAAAATTAATCATGCTATTCTAATCAAAACATATTAGAAACTCTAGGCAAAAAATAACAATATATTGTATTTAATATTCAGATTATGCCATAACAAAAAGTACATAACTTCTGGAATTTTCTAGAATTTTCATGACTTTTAAATAATTAATAAACACACATAAAATCAAAAACAAATATTCTAGAATTTGAGAAAGTGTAACAATCATACCAGCAAATAGTAAACTATTACAGTAGTCTACAGAAAAAATTTCAGCTTCAGAAATTTAGTCATGCAACACCAGAAGCATTTTAAAGCAGAAATAATGAATTATTATCTCAAAAAAAATATTTTTATTTTCATAAAATTTTGAAAATTTTACAGTAGATAAAAAATTTAATTCTAAGTCTAACAGTTCCAACCACGCTCAAAACAAGGCTATAACGAATTACTTATGACCATTTAAAGCAATTCAGAATTAAAAAAAAAACAAAAAACAAACAGAGCCTTACCATCCAACAGCCATGCCCGCGTGGAAAACGGTGCGACTCGGCTAGGCGTAGTGCATGGCATACTCGTGGCAGCGCACATGGTGCGTGCGTAGGCAGGGGGTATGACGCGTGCAGACGAGTGGCGACACGTGGCAAGCGTGTGATGCGCGCTGGCTACGCCATTTGGTGCGTGATGCGCACATATCACCTTCCACAGTGATTTCTAGTCCAATTTTGGTACTACAGGACTTGATTTTTCAAAATAAAAACAATGGTGGTCTCAAAATTGAATTTAATAAACACAAATGATAGGGTGTATTACACACTCTCTCTAATGAGAGTGGAAGTACAGAAATTATGCATTCCATCTTCTTCCTCAAACCACCAAAGAACTCACAAAGAACCCAATTTAGGGTTTGAGTTTTCTTATCAATCGTAAGTCTAAATCTAACAAATAATATATGGTTTCGAAGATCTCGAAACAAAGATTCTAAATATGTAAGATTTATAGACTGAAATTAAAGCATGTAAAACAGTCATGCAAGTAAAGTTTCGGGAATATAAAATGGGTCTTCATTTTTCTTGAAATCTAACCGTTCGATTTTTATGAAACTTTGCAGATATGTTTTACATGAAATTTACTACAACATATTTAAATTTTAGGTTAATCGAAGAAAGTTTAAAAAAATATTAATTTTTATGCATATATCATGTATACATATATCAATAGTTATATACATATTTTAATGTACAAAAATAAGCACGAAAATACCTTATGATGGCTTTGATACCATTAATATAGGATATATATAATGCAGCGGATAAACAAATATTCGACATACTTTATTTGAATGAATCCGAAACGAAGAATTTTGTGGATAAATCACGTGCTTCACAACTACGAACAAAACACCTAGCAATGGAGTGATACCACAGTATGAGTATCACCCACTCTAGTCACAGCGCAAAGGCTTGATCATTCTCTGATGGGAGAGAGTTTGGGAAAAACGTTATCGGGTACTACACTACATAACGTATCTGATATATTATATATAGATCAGATATATAACCATCTATCCATGTCTCCTAATAGGTGATCGTACAGACGAGTGGCGACACGTGGCAAGCGTGTGATGCGCGTGATGCGCGCTGGCTACGCCATTTGGTGCGTGATGCGCACATATCACCTTCCACAGTGATTTCTAGTCCAATTTTGGTACTACTGGACTTGATTTTTCAAAATAAAAACAATGGTGGTCTCAAAATTGAATTTAATAAACACAAATGATAGGGTGTATTACACACTCTCTCTAGTGAGAGTGGAAGTACAGAAATTATGCATTCCATCTTCTTCCTCAAACCACCAAAGAACTCACAAAGAACCCAATTTAGGGTTTGAGTTTTCTTATCAATCGTAAGTCTAAATCTAACAAATAATATATGGTTTCGAAGATCTCGAAACAAAGATTCTAAATATGTAAGATTTATAGACTGAAATTAAAGCATGTAAAACAGTCATGCAAGTAAAGTTTCGGAATATAAAATGGGTCTTCATTTTTCTTGAAATCTAACCGTTCGATTTTTATGAAACTTTGCAGATATGTTTTACATGAAATTTACTACAACATATTTAAATTTTAGGTTAATCGAAGAAAGTTTAAAAAAATATTAATTTTTATGCATATATCATGTATACATATATCAATAGTTATATACATATTTTAATGTACAAAAATAAGCACGAAAATACCTTATGATGGCTTTGATACCATTAATATAGGATATATATAATGCAGCGGATAAACAAATATTCGACATACTTTATTTGAATGAATCCGAAACGAAGAATTTTGTGGATAAATCACGTGCTTCACAACTACGAACAAAACACCTAGCAATGGAGTGATACCACAGTATGAGTATCACCCACTCTAGTCACAGCGCAAAGGCTTGATCATTCTCTGATGGGAGAGAGTTTGGGAAAAACGTTATCGGGTACTACACTACATAACGTATCTGATATATTATATATAGATCAGATATATAACCATCTATCCATGTCTCCTAATAGGATAAGATAGATGTGGATAGATAGTGATTTATTCTAACAAATAGGATAATCAGAAATTTAAATTCAAATTACATTGGTAATCTGAATGAATCATGAGTCATGCCACATGGGCGCCAAAATTCAAGTCCAATATCCAACCCAATTTCCAACAATTGTGTATAGCTGTGATATTTTTTGCTCCCTCTCTTTTCTTACCCTTCATAATTACCAATAAAGTGTTCTTTTTTTGACTGTTCAAAGAAAAAAGAGGGACAGAACATAGTGTAAATTGTCTAAATATAGTGAGAGCTCACTGCAACATATAAAATTTTTAAAATTTAATTTTTTATTTCTAAAAGTAAAAAATTTTATTGTAAAAAATATTTGGGGATTAATTCATGACATCACGAGAATAGCAGCTAAAATGTCGTCCTAAAAAATAAAATAAAAAATAAATAAAAAAGACTTTGAGCAATAAAATTTTGAAAATATTACTAATAAACGCAAGAGAAAATAATTTAGTCCTAATAAGATTTAGTTTTTTAGATAATTTGTTTTTTTTAGGTAACTTGAACTAAAATTAAAAGTCAATGGATGAAAGCAAAATTAACCATATATAGAGCGATGTTGCAGGCGGGTTATGTGAGCCGTCGATGTAGTGATGGACGGAGGTGATCAGATCACCGAAGAAGTGATCGGACGGCCATTGACTGCAAGTCCAACCGTTACATTTATTTCAGAATTAAATGTAACATTAAATGTGATTTTCGAGTTGTAGCTTCTGTGATCTTAAATACAGTTGAGAAAGATGCCTTCCCTTGTTTTGTGTTTATTTTGTTTTTTCTCATGCTAATTAATTATTAATAATTAACTATTTTTTTATATTTTTTTTTTTTTGTAAAAAACTATTTTCGCAATTTGTTTATATATATGTGAGAAACAAAGAGAAGAAGGCCAACCACAGATAGCCAGCTCAGGAAGAGTTGAAGGGGAGAAGTGTTTCTCTCTCTCTCTCTCTCTCTCTCTCTCTCTCTAAATCTGGGGGTGATCAGGTCATTGTCTGACTCTCAATGGCTTTGGTTGGGGAGCTGTTTCTCTGTCTACTTCTTCTATGGCTCTATGCTCTCACTTTCTGTCAAGGTTCTCTTCTCTCTGCTCCTACTTCTATGTCTCACTGTTTCTCATATGGGTTTTTTTTTTTTTTTTTTTTTTAAATATATTATATACATACTCAATCTACAAAGTATATTATTTTTCATTCTTCTTTCTTTTTCTTTCATGGTGGAGAAAGAAAGTAATGGAGATGGACTTTTCTTGGGTTTTCTTGGTTAGGATGGTTGTTGAGCCCTTTTGTTTCCTTTTTCTTTACTTTTTTTTTTGTGTGTTTTTTGTCAGTACTATTTCAACATTAGTTTTTTTTTTTTAAATTTTTTTGGGGTTTAGTCTGAAAAATAAAAGTCCAATTTTTAGTGAAAAAAAGGTATTTGGATTGAGATTGTTTCAAGCCAGTGATGTTTTGGCCAGAATGGGCATCTTTGTGATCATCATCATTTTTCCTATACATACACATACATGTCCTAGCTAGCAATCAAGATACATTAGTGTGACATACATTAATATTTTTTCAATGCAGCGAAGCAAAATTGGGAAAATCAATACCCATTCATCAAGCGTGCAAGTTCTTTTCCATCATCATCATCATCATCATCAACTACATCGAGCGGTGGCGATAAGGCCTACGATTACATAATCATAGGGGGTGGCACAACAGGGTGCCCGCTAGCTGCCACCCTTTCTAGAAACTTCAGTGTGTTGTTGCTTGAGAGAGGAGGTGTCCCTTTTGTAAACCAAAATGTAACCAACTTGAAGAACTTCCACCTCACTTTGGCCGATACTTCACCAAGCTCAGCTTCCCAAGCTTTTATTTCCACCGATGGAGTGTTTAATTCTAGGGCTAGGGTTTTGGGTGGAGGCACTTGCATCAATGCTGGCTTCTACACTAGAGCTAGCACAAGGTACCATCTCTCTCTCTCTCTCTTTGTTGGTAGAGTGGAGGTTTAGAAATTTTTAAGATTTGTCCTTAGCATCCTTTTAACGATTTTGATACATGTTTTAATCACGAAAATAGTCTTTTTAAAATTAAAATAAAATTGTATATATTATATTCTCTCTAGATTTCAATTTATTAGAAGTTAGAGTCATAAAAATAATTTATTTAAAAATAAGATAAAATTGTAAATTTTATTTTAACGGCAACTTCATCCTTGCATTGGTCACTTTTTTTTTTTTAATTATTTATTTTTTTCCCTTGAGCCTAAGAAGAGAACACGTTTTGGGTTATAATTAGCATAATTTTTTCCTAAAAAATGATTTGCAAATAGAATTTACATAAAATATATAAGAAAAGAAAAAAAATCCATATCAGTGACATTTTTAATTTAAGGACAATATTAAAGTAACCGCAATAAATCATATCATTTGTAAAAAAAATTTGTACAAAAGTTTATATCCTTACTCGTTTTTTTTTTACAACAAAAAATTAAATTTTTAGAGACCAAAATTTAGAGACAAAATTATTTTTGAAGGATCAAATATTTTTGTTGCGAAAAATATTATTATTATATTTTTAACAACAAAAATTGGACATTAATGATGAATTATTATTCTTTTGAGGCCAAATTTTTTGTCTCAAAAAATAAACTATTTGGAGACCAAATTATTTTGTCTCTAAAAGTCTATTTATTAGTGATATTTTCAAAATTTTGTCTTTAAAAATTTTGTTTTTGACTTTTCGAGAAGGCCTTTTAACGACTATCCTTATGACGATAGAATTTGATTCTTAAATGTTTTTTATAATAGAATTTTTATTTTTAGAGATTAAAAAATTTAATTTCTAAAACTCTTATACGTTGTATATGATAATGTCATGCAGACTAGGGTATATGGCTGCAATATTTAGGCCAAGTTTGGCAACCTAAAATAAGTACACACTTTTTATCTTTTTATTTTTTTTTCATCACATCATCTCTCTACTTTTCTGCACATATTTTCGTAAAAAGATAAAAAATACACTTATTTAGGTCATCTCAAACAATCCCTTAATGTTAGAGAGACAATTATGCCCTTGTTTGGTTTAGCTTCATTTGAAGTATAGTGGTGGGCAATGTTGGAATTTCAAATAGCTGGCACCACGACTGCTATTAAAACCCTACAATATTGTGATTAATTTGCTCACGTGGGTTTAACCCTACCCTCTACTTGAAATAATTTTTTTTTAAAAAAAGGGAGAGAAATTCATCTTCATGCATTGGCTCGAATTCAATTATTTCTAAGCTATACAAAAAGCAAAAATAAAAACAAAGAAAAAATTCATTTATGTGCCATTAAAACCGGCAAAGAGTTTAAGAATTTATGTATTTATGAAAGTGAATGTTGTTATAAGTCATTGTCTAACACTTTGATGTTGATATTGATTAAAAAAATCTTTGATGTTGATATTAGTCAATTACTTAGGTATTAATATGGTCAACAGGGTCTCACCAGGGCTGTTGTGGTTGGTGATAAGTCATTTGGTGTGTCACTTAACAAAATATGACAAATAAAATTAGAGCGATATTTATTTTTTTTTAATCTCTTGTTATAATTTAAGAGTTGTTTAGGATGAACTATATAAATATATTTTTAAAAAAGTTTAAGACTTTTTGATTTTTTATCTTTTTTAAAGGATGTCAAACACTTTCTTAATCATACTCAGTGTGTTTGGTTTGAAATTTCTAAATTAAGTTTTTTAAAAATTGAATTTTTTATTTTTCGTATTTTTTTTATTTTTAGTGAATATTTTTAAAATTTTAAACATTTTTTTAATTTTTTAGATGCACCTTATTTAGATGTATCTAAAAAGTAAAAAATTTGTGAAAAAATATTTTTAAAAATTATTAAATACATAAAAATACAAAAAAAAACGTACTGAATTCTCATTTTTTTTAATATATTTTTGGTATTTAGTGAATTTTTAAAAGGTTTTTTTTCACAACTTTTTTACTTTTTAGGTATATTTATATTAGGTATATCTACAAATTAAAAATTTTGCTTAAAATATTAAGAAAATTTATAAAAAATAAAAAAACACGAAAAATAAGAAAGTAAAATTTTCTGAAAACTATTTTCAGAAAAACATAACCAAACAAGCTGATTACCTTACTAAGTGTCTGTTTGGCAGAAATTATTTACAGCTTATTTCAGCTTTCAGCTTAATTTAAGCTATTTTGATGTGTTTGGTTTAGCTTATAGCTTATAGCTTATACCTTTGTGGAAGTCAGAAATCAGCTTATTCTTTGAGTGGGGCAGGAGATGCTTTAAGAATAAGCTGGAAATCAGCTTAAGCTGAAAGTTATAAGCTATAAGCTGTTTAGGCATAAGCTATAAGCACTTTCCCACAGTTCTACCAAACATGGCTTAAGTTAATAATACATCCAATAAATGGAGATCATCCAAAAGTTAGAGAACATGGCTTAAGTTAATAATACATCCAATAAATGGAGATCATCCAAAAGTTAGAGAGATGATGAAACTATTTTAGTTTGGTTGGATTATCTAGGATGTAGTGATTGCACTAGAGGATACAGTTGAGTCTATATGGAGTTTACTTGTAGAATATTTAAGTCGTTTTAATTTTTTCAAGTAAGTGATTGACCAAATATCAATAACTATATATTATAAATATATAACTATCTGTATTCGTTTAATTTAAACTTTTAAATATATAATTTATTCAAAAAATACCTAGAACTAAATTATTTAAATCACTGAAACGAGCCTACAAGGGTTTAACCGGACCATCCCATTCAATTACTGGTCCAATTCAATTACTAACCTACAGAGACGCTTCATTCGTGGCCAAACAATTAAAATAAGATTAAGTTTGGCAATTCAAAAATAATTTATTTTTTTATCTTTTTATCTTTTTTTCATCAAATCATCACTCTACTTTTTTTTCATATCTTTTTAAACAATCCCTAAGTAAAAAGAGCGAAGCATTAAATGGTGGGCATATAATTAATGTACGTGACATGTCATCGTCCAATATTCACGACATTTATCATGATTTGATCAATCATATTTATATTATATTTATTTAAAAGATAAATTACAAATACACTCTTTATGGTTTTAAAAATTACATTTTATTTTTTAAAAATTTTAATTTCATAACAAATCATCTATTTTATTAATAAATTATCAGGTTAATTAACAGTTTTTAATGATGTTAGAAATATATTTCAATTAATAATTTAAGTGTTTTTATTATTATATAAGAGGGCAATTGTGAATTTTATTTTTTTTAGTTAATTCTGTTAAATAAATTTTTTTTGACAATGGAGTATTTATAATTTTTCAAATCATAGGAGATAATTTATATTTTAAACAAATCTCAAAAAGTATATTTATAATTTACTCTTATTTTAATTTGTTAGCTTGTTAAATGTTACCTGTGTCCTTCCTTTTCCTTAATTTTATTTTCAAATACTATAAATTTAAAAAAATTATCTAAAATTTTACTCGAAAACATCAATCTATAGTTCATAAATAAATCTTGAATAATGCTATATACACTAATTAGTATATCAATTAGTGTACTAACGGGTAATATTTCTTAAAAGCTTTGGATTTTGTAATTTATATAATACGTAGGATTCAAATTTTAAAATGACAATATGAAAATATATACTAATAGACTAATTAATATACTAATTAATACATATACTATTGCTCATAAATCTTTGAATAATACAGTATGTACTAATTAGTGCACTAATTAATATACCAATTGATGATGTGACATAATATAAAAGATTTTTTATATTTGTAATGTAATTAAAATATCTAATTAATAATAATATCATAATTAATATTAATATACTAATTAATATATTAATTAATACATATAGCACTTCCGTAAATCTTTTGCTAACTTGCCAAAAATAAATTGTCATTTACTCCAACCTAATATCAAGGGTGTAGATGCAAAAACCACATGAAACATTTATTGTGGTCGAATAGCGCTAGAACACTCAAGACACAATTGGTCCCATATCCACTATCCCAACGACTCTGACATTGGCATTCAACTCTAATCCACTGATTGGTATGGTGGAACAAAATAAAATAATCATTTTATCAGAATATTTATTTTATGAAAATAATAAAAAAATATATATTATAAATAGAATTATTATTTATTATCATAATGAAATATTATTATATTATATTTCATCTCATTTCAATAAATTAAATAGAGTATAAGTTTACTTAATAATGTGCAATTTGTAATATCACGGGAAACTCTATTTCCAAATATATCTTTGTTTTCTTATCTTAATACTGTACATCTTAAATTTGTATAATATCTTTGAGATTTTCATCTTACTACAACATATAAGAGTTAGGGATCAAATATTTTGATTTCTAAAAATAAAAAATTTATTGGAAAAGACATTTAAGGATCAATTTTCATCGTCGTGAGGATAATCGTTAAAAAGTCGTCTTAAAAAATAAAAAATAAGGCTTTTAGTGACAAAATTTTGAAAATGTCACTAATAAATAGACTTTTAGGAATTAAATAATTTAGTCTCAAAATGGTTTTTTTTTTAGACAAAAAAATTGGTCACAAAAGGATAATAATTCATCATTAATATCTAATTTTCGTTACTAAAAATATAATAATGATATTTTTCACAATAAAAATATTTAGTCTTTAAAAAATAATTTTGTCTCTAAATTTTAATCACTAAAACTTTAATTTTTTATAGTATCTTTTGAATTTCTTACATGGTCTTATGGTTGAGAATGTATTGGGATAGGAAGACATGGTGATTTAACGAACAGCTGTGATAGGGATCCCACACCCCCACACACATTTGCGAGAGAGAGGGAGGAGACAGAAGAAAATAAAAAAACAAAAAAATAAATAATGAGTGGTTATAAATTAATTAGGGTTTATGAGGCTTACAAATTTTGAAGATCTCAAAGTATTATTCTTTAACAAAAGATATTTTAACTTTATATATGTATCAAAAAATCTTTATACAATGTGTCAGGAATTTTGAAACATAGAAAATTTCAAACCATTCTGCAACCGAGAATGCATTGTGTTGTACAAGATGACAGGAATTTTGAGTATAGAATCTTATACGGCGTTCATGGCAAGAATCTGTGAAGAAAAATGGTCTCTTTAGAAAGTGATTACTTCTTTACATAATTTGACATGCAACAAAAACCTAACCCAACCAAATATTGACTTAAACTCTTAATTTATCTAATTCAACATGTTACGTATTTAGAAAAAATATTTAAAACTAATTGGAATTTGAATAGATGATATAAATTTAAATTTGATTTGGTGTTTAGAAAAAAATATTTAAAAGTATTTGGAATTTGAATAGATGGCATAAATTTAAAGTTGACGTGGTGTGATCATACTTAGGAACTGTTTGGAATGATCTAAATAAGTATACTTTTTGATTTTTTATGAAATATGCGTTGAGTTTGAAGTAATGTGATAGAGACGTGATGCGACTTAAATAAGATGATATGACTTAAATAGGATAATGACTTTTTGACTATTTTAGGTTATGAGAAATAAGGCCTTAGAATAAATTTTGTACGGGGAGCAAATATTCCGGCGTGCCCGTATTCCTTTCTTCCGAGCTCCGTCGATATCCGATCACCTGCGAGCAAATAACGGTGAGCTACCCGGCGGTGTGTGGCCGGAAACACCCTCCGACGGTCAAATTAGCACACACCTTAGGATGGATAGAGAGAAGGGAGAGAGTGTTTGGGTGTGAGTTTCTTACAGATATGTTCGTGTTGCGTATGGGGGACGCAGACATGCTTTTATACCTTCTGAGCCCCATATCCACTCCCAGTCATCTCCTGATACGTGGCTCTGTTATCCCATCTGTCAGCATAAACCATGCCATTCACCACCTAACCTCAACTGCCTAACTTCACAGCTGGAGCTCGGCAGCCGAGCTGCTCTACCTCGGCCATGTCATGCTTCAAACCCATGCGCCTAACCAGACAAACACATGAAGGACCGGGCTAGGCGGCATCTCGGCAAAGCCTAGCCCGGGCACCTCCTTTGGTTGGCCTTCTTGCCGGTCAATCAACTACCTCGGCTGACCGCGCCTTTCCGGGCGCCGGTCTCTCGGTCTGTCCGGTTTCGACCATCCTCGGACCGAGCATCCTGGTCTGACCGGTCACTTCCTGGCGGAGCGGTTTCTGTACGGTCCGGGGTGGCACACACACTCAGTCCAACTCTGCCCGGCCCAAGTTCTCTCAGCCCATTTCCGGGCGGATAGTTGATCAGCTCGGCCCCATACACCGTTGGGCCCTCAACCTGCTCGGCCGTCACCTCGGCCCAACTCCAGATCATAAATTACCCTCTCAAATTTGATCTATATATTTTAAAGAAAAAAGATTGAAAGCTCTAAATGAAGAGCTCTAATAGCTCTAATTGGTGTATGGATCCATGTGATGTGATATTTTGGCCTTGGTTTTTTTTTCTTTTTTTTTTTGATTTTCCACATCATTAGTATTTTTTTAGAGCTTCCAAATTAGAGAGATGTATCATTTCTATATTTTAAATTCTAAACATTTCTTTAGATATTTTTTTTGAAAGGAAATGCTAATTACCACCTAACCACCGTTGATTAAGGTTGATGCAGATGTAAAAACATATAATGACACATGTAAGAAGTTTACAAAAATATTAAAAAACGTGTATTAAAATTCTAACATTAAAATGTGACAAATATTATTTTTTAAAAATTATATATAATACTCGAATTTATTTATTTATTTTTTAAAATTGGGTGGTGATTGGATTTTAGGTATGTTAGAAAAGCAGGATGGGATGCTAAGTTAGTGAATGAGTCATATCCATGGGTTGAGAAGCAAATTGTGTACCAGCCAAACCTTGTGCCATGGCAGATAGCGGTTAGAGACAGTCTTTTAGACGTCGGGGTTTCGCCTTTCAATGGATTTACGTATGATCATGTGTACGGAACTAAGGTTGGCGGTACCATCTTCGACAAGTATGGTGGCCGTCACACTGCTGCTGAGTTACTTGCTTCCGCAAGCCCTGAAAAGCTTGATGTTTTGATTCATGCTACGGTTCAAAAGATAGTTTTTGACACAACAGGTACATTTTCATCTCGTGTCGTGTTAAAATTCACCTTATTTGTTTATTTTTCTGTATTAATTATCATATCCTCTCATTTTGATTTCGTGCTTGATTCGTGTCATTTCAAAAATTTCTAATTATAAAAGTACCAATTTGTACCCAAAAATTTCTAATTATAAAATAGTTAAAATTAAATGTTTATTGATAAAAACATTTAATTTTAACTATTTTCTCTTTTCAATTTAAAAGTTAAATCCTATTAATTATCTAATAATTGAAAAATAAAAAGGATATATTGACTCTAAAATTCAATTATATATTTTTTTGAGTTATAGTGTCATGTTAATGTGTTATAGTGTGTTTATATCATGTTACTGTGTCATTTAAAATTCACATTTAGTTAAAAATACAAAATGCATGGAGGCTTTAAAGGTTTTTCTTCTTCCCACAAAATAAATTTTATAAAACTAGTCTCTACAATATATTTTTTTGTAAAAATATTTAATTTCCTAATTTCAAAAAATTAATCCCTACTATTATTTACTAGATACTCCAAAATATTTTTTTAAAAAAAAAATCTCAGATGGAAAACAAAAAGAGCATATTGATCATAAAATTCTATTTTACAATTTTTCATGCTTCAAACCCATGCGCCTAACCAGACAAACATATGGGTTTTGACATTATTCCGATCTATTTATTTTTTCATGTTATCATCTTAGTTCACTCTTGATTTTATATCAACACGTAATTAACCCTATCTTGTCACTTTTTATTGTGATTTGTGTCGTGTTAATGTATCATGTCGATGCAGGAAAGAAACCAAGGGCAGTCGGAGTAATCTTCAACGACGAAAATGGTAACCAACACCAAGCAATTCTAGCAAATGGGTCAGGAAGCGAAATCATAGTGTCGTGTGGAGCCATTGGCAGCCCCCAACTGCTGCTACTGAGTGGCATCGGACCAAAAGCCGAGCTTCAAAAGCAGAACGTATCGGTGGTGGTAGACAACAAGTTCGTCGGAAAAGGGATGTCGGACAACCCACTCAACACATTGTTCATACCATTTAATAGGCCAGTTGAGCAGTCATTGATACAAACTGTGGGGATTACTAAAATGGGTGTTTACATTGAGGCTAGCAGTGGCTTTGGGCAGTCCCAGGATAGCATTCGCTGCAACCATGGAATTTTATCGGCCGAGGTTAGTGTCGTCTTTTTTCACTTTTTTTTTGTGAAAAAAATGGATGACGGAATCCTCACAAAAGTGTGGGACTCACTCTTTGCGAGAGTTCGGTTGTTCTTTGCTTGATTTGTTTTTGTGCAAGTATAGTTTTTTCTAAGATCGTATGATCTAAAAATTCTTGATGTGGTTAATCTTTTTAAGTTTTCGTTTGAAATTTAGATAAAATATAATAACTTTCACCATTTTAATATAATTATAGATTAAAAAAAATATATTATCTCTTTTACACTAAAAGGCTCCGTTTGTTTTGACACAAAAATATTTTACTGATTTTTCGTTATTTGGTTGAACAAAAAGTAAGTAAAACATTTTTAAGGAAAATATTTTTGTGTCTGACCTTTAAAAATTCCTTAAGTCAATTTTAAAATTGACTTTCACTCACTACCTTTTTAACACATTTAACATTTTCAAATAAATATTTTAGCTCACTAAAAAGTCATAAATAGCACTTTATTAAATCAAAATTTCTCTTTTACATAATAAAATGTTTTTATTTCAAGTGTCAACTAAACACCAAAAAATAATAAATAAATAAATAATTCTGTGTAAAATCAATTTATAAGAAAAATATTTTACGTGGAAACAAACGGAGTCTAAAATGCATATTTTTCATACCATCTGCATTGGTTTTGTTCCCTTTGATCTTATTTAAAGAGAGTTCAGTATAATTATATTAAAACTGTACATTACTGTACTTTTTCAAGAGTTATGCCAGGGATATCAAATAATTTATCAAATTTTCTACCAAACCTCTCACATAGGTGTGGGACACACACCCATATATAGGTTTGTAAGCCTCAGACACATGTGAGATTTAGTAGAAAATTTAATAAATTATTTGAGATTCATAGAATTTTTCTTTTTTCAATCCTTACAAAATATTATTAACAATGCATGCAACTGGTACTTGTGCAAAAAGAAAATTTCAAAATTAAAATTAATAAAATCTTATTTAAGATCAACAATTTCGTCCAAAAAAAAGAAAAAGCAAAAGAAAAGTGAATCAACTATATTGTCAATCAAAAAAGATTTGTTAGCAAGACTTGAGCACAAAGATTTTATCAGTAATTTTGCATCTCAAAAAATTAGAAATTAAATTTAAATAAAAGTTTCTACAAAAAAAAACAAAAAAAACAAAAAAAAAAACACCTTAAAAAGCCTTAATTTTTTTCTTTTTTTTTCAAATCCTGAAATGTGTGACTGTTTTCTTTATTAGATTGGGCAACTCTCCACCATTCCCCCAAAGCAAAGAACTAAAGAAGCCATAGAAGCCTACATCAAAAGCAAGAGAGACCTTCCACATGAAGCATTCATGGGAGGTTTCATTCTAGAGAAAATAGCCCGGCCTATCTCCACTGGTGAGCTCAGCCTCATCAACACCGATGTCAACAACAACCCCTCCGTCACCTTCAACTACTTCAGCCACCCTTATGACCTACAGCGTTGCGTTGATGGCATTCGTATGGTAGAGAAGCTCGTGAGCTCAAAACACTTCGTGAACTTCACTCAACACGACAAACTGACCGTGGATAAGCTGATTAACATGAGTGTCATGGCTAATATTAACCTCATACCCAGACACACCAATGATACAGAGTCCTTGGAACAGTTTTGCAAAGACACTGTCATTACTATTTGGCACTACCATGGTGGTTGTCATGTTGGTAAGGTTGTTAGCCCAGAGTACAGCGTTCTCGGGGTTCATAGCCTCCGTGTCATTGATGGCTCAACATTTAGTGAATCGCCTGGTACTAATCCTCAAGCCACTTTGATGATGCTGGGCAGGTAATTAAGATGAATGCATATACAGAGTTCAATTTACCTTCTATGAAGTCATTCTAGGGAAAATAGAGTTATCAATGGCCTAAAGGCCCGCAACCTGGCCTAAGTCTACCGGGCTTTTACAATCCAAGCATGTATCTTGGATTCGCTAGGTGTGGAAGCACAGACCGCCGGCCTATCAAAGGCAGGCAGCCCATTCGGTAGCCCTGCTAACCCAACAGAAAATAGGGAAATAAAAGAAAATTTAAAAAAAAGTAAACAAAATTAAAAGCCCAAATCTTGGCCCACTGTCCAGCCGTTAGCTCATCTGGTCCAAACCCATTGAGTAGGGTATGGGCCTAAAGTTTTTGACCTTTGGCTGGCCTGCTAGAAAAACCCGCTAGACGGACTTGGGCACCAATTTCATGGGTTAGCCTCCCAACCCAACCTGGTGCCCACCCTTAAATCCAATTACGTGTGTATGTAGTTATGGTTTTCTTGTGATGTGAACTTGTGCAGGTACATGGGAGTGAAGATTTTGAGAGAGAGACTAGGAAGATCAGCTGATACATAAAGACTTGAAAAGAAAAGCTAAGTAGAAGCACAACAGGAGCAGCATATGTGTGTGTGTGTGTGTGTGTGTGTGTTTTGTAATGGTGGAAAGTGTTTTGGTTGTTTTAATTTCTTAGCAAGCAGTTAAATGTGTAGAGATATAGGTCAGCTTGCCCACATATCAATATGTTTCCAAATCTGTTTTATCCACTACATGTAGTCTCAGCTATTTAACATTAGATATATATATATATATATATGTATCACCTGTTGGCATCTTCCACCCACAGTACCTGGATTCTTTCTTTCTTCATGAATTTTATTTTATTTTTTTATTTTTTTTACTTTCTCATTTTGTAAACAATATTTACTAGTGGAAGCAATTCAGATTGTAGACTAAACTCTTGCACTAAATCCAAAAACAAGAACCAAAAGTGAATCACATACTCTTGTAACCTCCAAACGATCATGAACAACACCACCTCTAGCGGAGGAGCAACACCACACTGAAAGCGTGTCACCCACAAAATCACAGTGAAATGGCCCTTCTTGGTTCAACAATGGCAGAGAGAGAGAAAACACAGAGATATGTAGAATACAATGTACACAACAATCTGATTAAGTGGGAGAACTATCTTATCTCCTAGATAAGGAGAAATTCAAATAAATTCGCTATATGGGTTAATGGGTGCCACCATAGGCATCCAAGTTTGGGTCATGACCCGACCAAATGTCTAACACTATAAGAGAAAGAGTCTAAAAATGTAAAGAGAGTAGAGAAAAGAGATTAAAACAGTAATGAAGCATGGGAAACATGATAAGTGATTTTTGTCCCCAAAAAAAATAAATAAATAGAACAGGATGGGGGCCATGGGTTCCATTTGTCACTACTTTAAGATTATGTTTGGATATTAAATTTGTAAAGGGAAAAGAAAAGAGAAGGGAACGGATTGTAATCAAGTAGAAGTGCACCAAGAGAAGAAATAAGGTTCACTCATGTTATGATCATGTACTATATCTTAAATCTCAAGTACAGGTGCTTCATATACATTCTCACTACATAAATATGATTAAGTTTCACAAAGATTTTCAATTTTTTTCTTTTTTCAATTTTACAAATAAACAATGTCAACAAGACATTGAACAATAACTGAACCCAACATGGGTATTGTTCTGTACAAAAAACAGACCACACATAAACTCATGACATTCATTGAAGTATCATAAAGTAGTCTAGATGATACCTTGATTTTTGAACACTTCACTATATTGATGGTCTCCTACTGAAAAACCTCTAATCACAACAGGTGACTTCAATTCACATGCCTGCGCAGTGAAAATAAATTTCTTTCTCATCTATCAACGTGCAACTCTGAATTCAATTGAAGGGCTTCTTTCAAATGGCATGCATTGTCAAGGCTTAACGAGATCCTGGCCAAAATTTTAATGAAAATCCACGCTCGCTCATGCTGCCTCTGGACAACCCTCTTAATCTTTGCCAGAACGGCCTTCCTCTCCCCATTCTCAGGGGAGCAGAGTTCGAGTGCCTCCTAAAAGACCCAAATTCATCTCCCTCAATCCTAGCCGATGCACTTGGCAAATCTGTAGCTGATAATGCTATCTTCGAGTCAAAGATAGAATCATAGACAGGTAACAGGTAATGGGTCCCTGAAGCTTCCATAAGCTCACCTGAAACTCGACACATCTTAGTGTCCACATCGATAGAAAGGTCATCTTGGCTACAAGTTCTTGATATAGGCTCTTCTTTTGTCTCCTCAAAGTCATTGCAGACAAGCTTCAATGCCTGAACTACTTCGCCCATGAAAGGACGGTGAGATACTTCTGGTTGTACACACATTGACGCGATTGCTGCTACTTTGGCCGCACTATCAAATGGGATATGTGGCTTCAGAGCAGGGTCAATGATTGTTTCTAAGCCCTCCTTGGTTGTGAGTAGCGGACGAGCCCAAGCAACAAGATTTTCTTGACCTGGTGGCTGTGACAAGTCCACGGGCTTTCTTCCCGTTAGGAGCTCAAGGAGGACTACACCGTAGCTGTAAACATCACTTTTCACGAGAAGATGACCCGTCATTGCATATTCTGGAGCTAAGTAACTGCAAATAAGAAAGTGATATTATTATTATTATTATTATTATTATTATTATTACAAGAAGTGGTAGTGGTAGTGGTAGTGGTAGTGGTAGTGGCAGTAGTTCATATGAAGGTGGTATTTTGAATAAAATAAGTTAGTTCATACCCAAAAGTTCCCATAACATGTGTTGAGATGTGTTTGTTTCCCTCATCCAGTGCTGTTCTAGCCAATCCAAAATCCGAAACTTTGGGTGTAAAATCATGTTCTAACAAAATGTTACTGGATTTGAAGTCTCGGTGTATAACACGAGGGCTTGAGTCTTCATGCAGATAAGCTAAACCCCGAGCTGCACCAAGGGCAATCTTCATTCGAGCACCCCAATCAAGAGGGGAAGCTTCCTTGTCAATTCCTGAACCACACGAAAAGATAACAATAAAAATACACTTCTCGGATGATTAAACAATGATGCTGCATGGTGCAACTTTATGAAATTGCTTACAGCTTTTTTTATTTTGTAAATCTGTACCAGAATATTTGGTGCAGCTTTTGCTTACCACTTATAAGGTAGAAATAACTTAAATAAGGTGATTATTGGCGAACAAGGAGAGATGTGCTTTTAATTTTTACTTTCTGAAATCAGCTTTCAGCTTGATAGAAATTGAACCAAATAAATGGAAAAAGATTTTAGAACATTCAAATTTGATTAGGTACCTACCATGTAAATGGGATTCAACACTTCCATTTGGAACTAGTTCATAAATCAAGCAGCGAGTGTGGCCCTCTGTGCAGATGCCGATTAATTTGACTAAATTTCTATGGTGCAGACGACTAAGCATCTCAACCTCTGCCAAAAACTCGCGGGTTCCCTGTTGGTCATCTCTCTTGAGAACCTTCACGGCCACCTTCCTTCCATCATCAAGAATGCCACTATAGACAAGTCCAAAACCACCTTCCCCAAGTATTCTTGAAGCATCAAAATTATTTGTGGCTCTCTCTATATCATTTAGGCTGAAAATCTTAGCCGTTCCTGTATATGCCAACACGCTTGAACTAAAGGACATTGATGAACTGGGCCTGCTTCCAAATGTCAATGATCCAGGAGCCCCTGCAGAATTTAAGTTTCATTATTTTCTAGAAGTGAACTGTGCATAAACCAAATCGTGTCTACACTGGTATTTTAGATCAAGGATTATTGAGTTTATTTGATTTTGGAGACATAAAATTTTGGGTAGGGAAGTGTTTTGTGAAATTACTATATTAAAATTGTGTATAAGCATATTATATGAGGGGGGAAAAAAATTTCAATTAATATGAATTTGCATCTTTGCAAAGTTCACATATCCTTTGAGGGTACTCAGATAAAATCATGCTAAATAAGCTGTATGAAAAAGAATCTGCAATTTTTAAATTTCTAAAAGATTTGGTGAAACAACGATATTACCTGAAGGTTTTCCATGAGAGGATATCAAGACATGTGGAGTTTTTTCAGGTTGATGAGCACAGCCATATTTCAACAGCAAAAGCCAAATAACTGCCATGCATACAACAAAAGCTGTGACAGATGATAGAACAACTATAGCGATCATGCTTCCATGAGTCTCATTATTCTTTTTCCTCGGAACATCAACACCAATAGGTTTTATTGTAGTCCCACCATTGCCACGGCCAGAATATGGCTGATCATCTATAGAACCAGTGCTTGATGGCATCGAAGGTGGAGAAGGAGGAAGACCTGTTAAGGATAAGAGTTTCAGCAACGCATATCTAGAGACACAAGATATAGAACATGGACATGGATATAGATAAGGGCATAGACACGCGACACAACAATTTTGAAAAAAATAGGATACGGAGGTGGGGATATGGTAAAAAAAATATATTTTATTATATATTTTTATTTGACATGTTTATGAACATAAATTTATGGCACAAAGATATAAGAGGCATCAACATATATATGGGTGTACTTTTCTTTTTTTTTCACTTTCCTCTCTTTTCATATATTTTAATAATTTTACTTTTACCCCAAATCAGCTCTTTAAAATTATAAAAAAGAAACTCACAAAGGTGTCCTCAGGCATGTCCAATCAAAGTACACGTGTGTCTGTGAAGTGTCCCCAAAGTGTCCTATCAAAAAAATAATAATTTAAAAAATTGACATGCCATGTGGCATGTTTGACACAAAGAAAACATGTGTCCTTGGCTGTTGGTGTCCCATACGTGTTTGACACGGAAGTGGCACCCATTTTGAAGTATTGGTGCTTCATAGGAACACAGTAAAGACAAACATTTTGTGAAAGAAACTTCAAGGTCGAACTGAAGAATCCCTTCTTAAGGCCATCGAATTCTAGTGGCACATTTGGAAGATTTTATAACATTAACAAATAGAGAACCTAGTTCTTAAAGATATAGTGTAACTTCAATAAATGCTTCCTCTTCCAACTACAAAAATCTGTGCTTTGACTTCTCCAATAAAGACGTTTAAATAAAGAACTTTCCAAGAAAAGTGGTATATGTTGCATTACAAAAAAATCTAACCCTAGAACCTGAAGATTGGTGCATAACCTGGATACTGAACGTATACCACTTCATAGGCACCAAAGAGCGAAGTCTTTATGAGAACCTGTTTGTGCCAGAACTTCTTGTAGATCGAGAATGCAGAAGATTTATTAAAATTTTCTCTCGATGGTACCAAGTTGATGAGGACAATGGTTTTCTCTAGCTGCTGACTGGCTGCATTTGCTCCCATAATTCGAACTTGACTTTGGTTGAGTGAAACACTGGCTGCAATTTCCTTGGCTAGTTCCGAGACCAAAGGGAAGAACGTGTACAGGGCAACATTAACGCGCAGTCTGACTTCAATAGGCCTCACACAACCACAGGGTGATCCGGGAGGTGTATATGTAAACGGTTCTATGCATATCACTGTTGTACAATCTGCAAATAGGATAAGAAACAACCCTTATTTTCTATGATCATAAAGTTCTTATAATTACCAAACCTAACACTTGCAGCATTGAAAGCAACATGTGTACCTTCGTTAGGAGGAGGCGGCGGTAGTGCCAAAGGTGGTGAGGATGGTAGAGTTGCCTTCTTTTTAGCAGAAGAGCTCGATGGAGATGATGTGGGCGGAGGAATGGGCACTTTCACACAAATAAAATGATCACCATGCAATAGGTATCAGTATTTGCTGTAAATGAAGCAAAGGCTCCAAAATAAACCAAATGGAAAAAAAAAAAAAAATCTGTACTTAAAAATTGTCTTGATACGATTGCTGGTGATGGAGCATGTGCAGAACTCCACGTTGTTGTCGACGGAATGGGAGAATGTATAGGGGCAATTGAAGAGCCTACATATTTTATAAGAATAAATTGAAAGATGGGGAAAAGGCTTAGTGACTAAAATTTTCATAGTAATGAAACGTGAAATAAGTTGATTAATGCTCTTCTCGATTGAAATATCTAACCTTGGGGGCTATAAGTCGGTGAAGGGGCGAAGTTGATGATTCTGTTCTTTGTGTGATGATGCTTATGATATGAGGATGAAGGCGAAGATGGCGACCTTTTTGCAGGATGTTTGAAAGGTGACGCAGAAGGGGCAAATGCTTCATTAGAGTGCCTCGTGGCATGGTTATGATTAGGGGCTGCAAAAGAAAGGAGGTTATAATGATGATAGCGATAGACATGAAATTTCATTTCTATCTTTAAAGTAAGTGGGGAAAAAAATTCCTCAATTAGAATTCTTAAAGTACCTTTAGTAGGAGAAGTGTACATAGGTGAGAAGCTGTGGAATGCTTTGATTGGTGGTGGTGCTAGAATTCCATGTCCTTTCAAGGCAAAGCTCGGAGAAGTCGACGCAGAAGAGATAATGGAGTCTGTTACATTTATTTGGACCAATCAAATAAGATATAAATAAGAGAAAGATACATAGAAATTGTGTAAGTTCACACCTCTACTGCAAGTGTAGAAACACAGATTAATCAATTCATATATTGATTTCTCTTTTCAATGTGACAGTTTCATTTTTGATATCCATATAGTCAAAGGATATATGAATCTTTGTTTTAGAGGTCACTTGCTAGCATACATATATTCAGAGAATAATCTCATAATGACAAGTTGTGAAGGCATAAATTGATTCCAATTTACGAATCTTAGGATCTGGAAACAGTTACCATTTTGCAGGAACATATGCCTTGGCCTAGTGGTTCCATGAGAGCTGAGGTCGGGTGTTTCAAGATTAAAATGGAGAAGCACAGAAACCGAAGCAAGTGAAGAAATATCAAATCCTGCAAAAGAATGTACAGCTAATAAGTCTTGGTCCAGAATTTGAGTTCTGATTTACCTAGTGTCTCATCCACTAGACCAGACAAAAAATAAACAAATAAATAAATGATGAATAATAAACGAGAAATGGATTCCTTATAACTCAGAACTGAATTTGTGCAATAAAAGCAACTAATTAATGTCATCACAAAACTACAGAAAAAAGTACGATTATTAGAATGGTTGTTCTTATAGATCGCCCATTTGCTCCTGTATCTCCCTACAAAGGGGAATTTCAAATGATAATGACCCAGAAACTAATTTGTTGAATTCAATCCCATTAAGATAAAACTGGCTCCCCCAAAAATTCATAATTTCAGTTTCAGACTGAACCCTATAATTCAGTAAATGACAGCATGAAAACTCTGTCGAGAATAATGTTTAAATCATAAGGAAATTTCTTTTAATAGTTGAAACCTAGACTAATAATACAAACCCTAGTCCAATTTTCACATAACTTCCCCAAAATGATACCAAAGTTGCCTTTTGCCTCATAGATTAAAGATCATTACAAGTGAAAATTAAATCCAAATTCTCAACTGAACCAATTTGTTGAAATAGCCCCATTTGAAAATGTACATCAGTCATGAACTAAACAACTTTAACACGTTTAATTTCATATGAATAACGTTCCATTATTCCCATAATTTAGCGCACATGAGTTAAATTTTGAGATCCCAAACCTTAACTGTACTCCAAATTCAACATTCATGAAGACCCACGTGGAATCAAGAAGGATCAAACAATATTCAATCCATACACTGAAAAGAAAAAGAAAAAATCATAATTAAAACAAGGAAGAAGATCAAACTCATTACCTGCAGATCCACAAACTGATACAGCACAGACAATCATGAGAATCAGAAGCATCTCCATCTCCCTCCAAAAGAGAGTTCAAATCAATCCTCAAGATCTTTAATCACTCACCCAACCATTCCAAATAAGAAAGCAAAATTGAATAGAAAACAAGTCAAATTTGGAGAACAGACACATGGGTAGTGGCTTCAGATCACAGGAGGAGGAGACCCACAAATAGTATGAGTGAAGCAAGGAGAATGCGGAGTGTGAGAATGGGTTAGGTGGGAAGGAGAAGGAGAAGGAGAAGGAGAAGGACCCAAGTTTTGTTCTTTTCTTGAAAGAAAAAAGCTCTTGAATTTACAGAGCTTTGAGTATCCTAATGGAATAGTTTCAGTTGACATGGGTTATTAAAGACTAAAGATTAAAGATCGATAAAATGGATCTAGCCAAAAAGCAAAAACAGCACACTTAAGTGTCAGACACTTTGAAAAGAGAGGTTTGCGTGGAGGATGAGAGAGCGAGAGAGAGAGAGAGAGAAAGGGAGGGGTAATCCATCCAAAAGCAATAAGAAACAGAGTCCTGTGTTGCTTTGTGTTTTTTCTTTTTTCTTTTTTCTTTTTTCCAAAAGCAATAAGAAACAGAGTCCTGTGTTGCTTTGTGTTTTTTCTTTTTTCTTTTTTCTTTTTTTTTTTTTGGTTGAACAGAGATTCATGTGTTGGTTGAGACAAGTTATTTGGTGCCAAGCATGTTTTGATTGGTGCAAAAATTTAGGGCAAATTACATATACACCCCTTTAGGTTTGACAAAATTACAGATACCCCTGAAGTTTGAGAAATTACGAATTTCCCCCTAAATGCTATATTTGCATAAGAAATTAGGAGGTAATTTGTTATGAAATATAAACCTCAGGGGGCAAATTGTTATAAAAATACAAACCTCAGGGGGCGGGATGAGGGGTAATCCATCCAAAAGCAATAAGAAACAGAGTCCTGTGTTGCTTTGTGTTTTTTCTTTTTTCTTTTTTCTTTTTTTGGTTGAACAGAGATTCATGTGTTAGTTGAGACAAGTTATTTGGTGCCAAGCATGTTTTGATTGGTGCAAAAATTTAAAATAGTTTAAATAAGTATATTTTAAAATTTTTAATAAAAAAATATAAATAAAAATAAGGAGGTGATATAATTAAAAAATAAATAAAAAACATGTTTATATAACACACTTCAAACAAGTTATGATTGAAAAAGAATAAAGAATATATTATGGTGATCGATGAAAAACACAAATACATAATTTTTAGTTATTTGATTGAAGCTTAAATTTTTTTTCTTTTTTATTTTTTTTTTGGAGGATTTTAGGTTCTGTTTGGTGGAACTTTTAAAATATAATTTTGCACTCACTTTAAAATGTGGTATTTGTTTAGCATTTTTAAAAATTAATTACACAATCACTTTTGAAAACTCTTTAAAAGGCGAGAAAATTTGGACTAATCGATCGTCCTCTCAGACGTCCGGCCGGTTGACCGAAGCAGTGCTATTTTTTTATTTTTTTTATAATTTGCACCTGGTATTTTTTATAATTTAAATAAAATAAATATCGAAATTTTAAAAAAAAATTTATGAGTTTTTAATAAAATTTTGAGTTGTATGTTTGGTTATAAGTTCTAAGTTTTTATGGCCCTATTTGGTAGGGCTTATTTCAGTTTTTATCTTAATTTAAACTATTTTGATGTGTTTGGTTCAGCTTAACAATACAGCTTATACCTTTTTGTAAGTCAAAAATCAACTTATTCTTTGAGTGGGGGAAAATAAACTTAATTTATAAGTCAAAATCAGTTTATGTTCACAGCTATAAGCTATAAGCTATTAGGCTATAAGTTATAATCATTTTTCCACAGCTCCACCAAACGAGGCATATATCAAATATCACATGTCACATAAAAAATTCCCCACTCAATTCAAAACTCTTTTCAAAACTTATAATCAAACAAATTTTCCATACTTAAATCATAGTTCCAAAACTCACAAACTCAAAATACAACTCTATTCTCAAATTATATTTATAAAATTCTACCAGATGCTACCTTAGAAATTCTTTGACATATACTAAAAAAAACTTTTTATATTTTTTTTTAAAATCATATCAATTTTTTTTATAATTTTACACATTTTTTCATAAAACATTAAAAAATACACTTGTTAGTCCTTCTCACCCGAGTCCGGATCCTCGATCGCACTCTCCTGCAGAGCTTTCCTGCCGCCCTCTAAAACGACGTCGTTTTGGAGGTGTCTTTTTTCTTTTTTTTTTCTTTTTTTCTTCTTCTTCTTCTTCTTCATATTTCTTATTTTGCTTTCCCCTTCTCATTTTTGAACTCTCGCCTATGAGATAAAAAGGCAGATCTAGAGAAGGGTTGGTTAATCAACCTGGAGACCTCACTGGGTTGGTTAATCAACTTGGTGACCTCACTGATAACTCTCTCTCTCTCTCTCTCTCTCTCTCTCTCTCTCTCTCTATCCTCATTTCAGATTGCAAATTGAATCGGAGAGAGGCATGGAGGAGGAAGATGAGCAACAATCATCGACCCAAACCACCCCTCTCCTCGCCCTTCCACACTGGCACCACTGCCTCACCACTCTCTCATGCGCTACCAACCTCCGCCTCAAAACCATGATCTGGTTCGAACTATAGTCCTAGCCCTAACCCTAGTCTCCCACCTCGACCTCTCCACCGCTCTTATCTTCACCTCCATCTACAACATCTCCACCGGCCTCTTCTTCGGCACCCTCATGCCCGTCCAACCCATGAAATCCATCGCCGCCGTCGCCATCTCCGAATCCCCTCACCTCACTATCTCCCAAATTGCCGCCACGAGAATCTCCACCGCTTCCGTGCTCATCCTCCTCAGCGCCACCGGCCTCATGTCCTTCTTCTACCGCTTCATCCGTCCTCCACCTCCACCAACAGTACCCAATAAACTCATGTTAACACAACTTTGCAAACTTTATTACAAGGAAGAGAGAGAGAGCAACATATGATGTATCAGCAACACAATGCCCAGAGTTGAGTGTTGATGATAAGAAAGAAAGAAAGAAAGAAAGAAAGAGAGGGGGAAAAAAAAAAAACGACGTCGTTTTGGAGGGCGATAAGAATGCGAAATAGGAAAGTGCCACCGAGGATCCAGACTCCTTCTCACACAACTGTTAATGCTTGGAACCCTCTTTGAGGGGTATTTTAGGAAGTTAGTCAAACTTTATTACAAGGAAGAGAGAGAGAGAGAGAGAGCAACATATGATGTATCAGCAACACAATGCCCAGAGTTGAGTGTTGATGATAAGAAAGAAAGAAAGAAAGAGAGGGGAAAAAAAAAAAACGACGTCGTTTTGGAGGGCGATAGGAATGCGAAACAGGAAAGTGCCACCGAGGATCCAGACTCCTTCTCACACAACTGTTAATGCTTGGAACCCTCTTTGAGGGGTATTTTGGGAAGTTAGTAAAAAGTTGGCTTTTGACTGTTTACCAAGCTTTTTAACTTTTTGAAAAGTGATTTGAAAAGTTGATAAAAAACTAGCTTTTGACTTTTTAGTTTAATATTTATTTATGGTGTCAAATTAAATTAAAATGACCAAAATACCTTTACCCAACATAAAAAAATTATTTTTTTATTTTTTTATCATAAGTCTTAATTTGTAATTTTACACTTATATTTTTATAATTTCCTAAATCAATTTTGTTACGTTTTTGGACCTTTCGACAAAAACGTCACTTTTTGTTTTGATTTCCAAAAATGCATTGATTAATTCTAAATTGCAATCATTACAGGACAGACTAATGGGATTGTGGTATCTTCTCACCACTTATTTGAACTGTCTTATTCAATAACTGTCAGAGAAACTGGGGGTTCACATTTGAGAAATATTAACGGATGCGTTATTATTTTTTTACGAGAAATTAATAAATCCCCTCCCAGTGGTGTGGTAAAATATATTTTGACTTTTTTAATATTTTAAATTTAAATTCTATAATTTTTATTTTTTTTCTTCAATCTAAATAATTAATTTATTTCCCAATAAACTAACAAAAAAAATAATATTTTAATCATTAACCTCAATGAAAAATGATATTTTAAATATTTTATATACATCTACATCAAAGTTAAGTATAATAACTAAAATATTATTTTTTTCACTAATTTTAATTAACAGAAATAGACAAATAATTTGGATTAAAAATCAATAAAATTAAAAATATACTATAATTTATTTTATTACAAAGCTTAAATCTTAAGTTTTTTTTTTTCTTTTTTTTTTATCGCATATTTATGGTCGATTCATAATAGAGTATGGGGTAAAAAAGTTTATTTATAGTCGAATTAATCGGCCACCTACACTCATGGTTTTTAAATTAGACAATCCAATTTATCAACAATGATACATCCCCCCTTTTCCTCCCACCCTTTTGACCCCCTCTCTCTCTTATTGGTTACATTTTCTTTTTCTTTTTCTTTTTTTTCCTGCTTCTCCAATCACCACCCCGCCACATGGCAAAGGGAGTGAGGGGGTGACTCCCAAAAGGGGGTCCCAAGCATTATTCCCAATTTATTTGAAAGAAGTCCAATTCAAAAAATTTAGGGTAAATTACAAAAACTCCCTCGAGATTTGATGAAAATACAGATTCTCCCTTGAGGTTTGAGAAATTACAAATTGCCCCCCTGAAAGTCAAATTTTCATAAAAAATTAGGAGAAATTAGGAGAGAATCTGTATGAAAATAAAAATCTTAGGGACAATTTGTTATGAAAATATAAATCTCGGGAGGTGAGATGTAATTTCTCAAATCTCAGAGAGAAATCTGTATTTTCACCAAAACTCGAGCGAGGTATTTGTAATTTGCCCAAAAATTTATTGTGTGCCATTACAATGAAAGTCTAATTTTGTTGGCATACCTCATAAACAAAACCTTACTTTTTTATTGATCTAAAGCAGTGCCAGTGGGATCCAAAACTCCAATACAATGTTTCAAAAAAATAAAATAATTTACAACTCACTTTTTGTATCTATTTTTTAAACTTAATGATATGTAAATGAGATGATTAGTTGATAATTAGAGAATATATGAGAGAGTGTTATTTTTAATATCCTAATTGATTGTCAGTTTGAAAATTAAGTCTAATTTTTTATTTTGAAATTCTCTTTAAAAAAAAAAAATCTATTGTTTTGGGCCAATCACAACCTATATTTTGTTTACATATTTGTCAAGTGTGTAAAAAAAATTATTTTCAACATTAGTGGTGGGAGACAAGCGCCAAGTGATGCTCATAAATTGAGACCCCTAAGAGCATCTTCAACCCATCTTTCATATCTTCAAATATGGAGGATTCTCTCCCAAAAACAACTCCAACCCATCCTCTATATCCTCCTCCATTTGGGAGGAGGATGAATTGATCCTCCAAATATAGAGGGAGGATGAAAAAATGGAGGAGACTCTAAAATACTATTCACTCTATATTTCTTAATTATATTCGAAATAACCTTTAATGTGTAAATTTAATTTTTATAAAAATGACA